CGCCCCGCGCGCGCTCACCTGCCCACGAAGTTCTCGAGCACCGAGCTCTTGCCGGCGCTCTGGCCGCCCACCACGGCGATCTGCGGCAGCTCCAGCAGGCAGCTCTGTCCCAGCGCCGAGAAGGCGTCCTGCAGACGGTTCACCAGCGGGATCAGCTCCTCCATCTCCCGGTTCCCCATCCTGCCAGCGCCGCCGGCCGCCCGTTGGTCCCTGCTCTCCTCTGCGACTTGGCGGGGGGAGCCGGGGGGCCGCGCCGCCCTAGCCGCCCCTGCCGCGCTGGGTTCTGTCAGCCGCTTCCAGCGCAGACGTCGGATCCAGCCGCCCGCCAGCCGCTAGGCTCCTGACAGCTAACGGCCCGCAGCGCGCCTGCGCGGGCGAGAGGGGGCGTGGCCTGTCTCCTCGGCCGCCCCCTCCGCGCCCCGCCTGGCTGTAATTTCGCCTGAGGGTTCCCGGCCGGACACCCCGGCCCCGCGCGCGCACGCACTGCCTCCCAGCTGCGGCCAGATGCCACGACCTCCGTCCTCTGCTACCAAGGCTCAGAGGCAAAGTTACAGCACTTGGCCAGGGAGTCAGCAGCAGCTACCAAGCCAAAGTCCAGTGGAAAGCCCTACCGATTACCACTCAGCCCTGTCACCAGCAGTAGTAGCAGCATCTCCGCCACCACCACCACTGCGCCGCCGCCACAGTCACTTCCCAAAAGCAGATCTCATATTCTCACGCCCTGCTCCAGAACCCAGCTCTTCTCAAGGGGGCCGGCCTGTGGAGTCTAAATTCTTCCATCTGACATCCATTTCAGGACCTGCGTAGTCTGACCCTACCTAATTATTCGACTCTAATGATTCGAATGTCTCCCAGCCCCGTCTAAACAAAGGTGGAGCCGGTCGTGCTTACCCCGTACCACTCCCCCTTTTCAATCTACCACACTCATTCTGTCCTTTGCGACTCTTCATGCCATTTCTCCTACCCATCTGTCTCCTCATAGGGTCTATATAAGCGTGTACTCTGCACATTTTCTGTTATATTTAGCAGACTGAGACGGGTCCTGTGCCGGCTGATGGAGACATGAAGATAAATGGTCGTGTTTTGCTCAGCCTCCTTAGAGGGTTCCTCTTTACAAATAGGTATCGATGCTTTCCAGGATTTAATCCATGGGCCTTGTCTCACATTTTAAGGGCTACCTGAGGACTTTCCAATGGCTTTAACTCCACAAAATGACTAGCGACTACAAGAATCTAAATTGCTAACCCACCTCTCTCTCCTTTACTGTTGACTACTCCCACTGGTCCTGGACCTCATTACCTGAATGTCCCGCAAGTACCTCTGACTTAATTATTCAAAACTGAGCTCATCTTTTCTAATTTCAGCATTTAATGCTACAAAGTTCCCTTGAAGCCTAGAAAGACTTGTATAAAAATGTCCAAATAACCAAAACACTAAGAACAGCCCAATCATCCATCAAAAGGTGAATGAATGAACAAGTATGATTTGGGCATACTTCTAAGCAAGAAAAAGGAGTGAACATTCAATACAGCAATAACATAGTTGAATCTCAGATACAGTATGTTGAATGAAAGCCACTAAAGAGTACGTATTTTATGCTTCCATTTATGTGAAGTTCTGGAATAGGCAAAATTATCTGTGTTGATAGAAATCAGAGTAGTGGTTGCCTCTGAGTTGTAACGATTGACTGCAAGAGGCACCAGAGATCTTTGTAAGGTGATGGAAGTGTTCTGTGTCTTGATTTGGATGCAAGTATGTATTCGTAGACTCATTGAACTAAACATTTAACATCTGTACATTTCAGCGTTGCCTGGGTGGCTCAGTCGGTTGGGCGTCCAACTTCAGCTCAGGTCATGACCTCCCGGTTTGTGAGTTGGAGCCCCACATTGGGCTGTGTGCCGGCAGCACAGAACCTGGAGCCAGCTTCAGATTCTGTGTTTCTGTCTCTCTCTCCTTCAAAAATAGATAAACACTGGGGCGCCTGGGTGGCTCAGTCGGTTGAGTGGCCAACTTCGGCTCAGGTCATGATCTCGCAGTTGACGAGTTTGAGCCCCGCGTCGGGCTCTGTGCTGACAGCTCAGAGACTTGAGCCTGCTTCCGATTCTTTGTCTGCCTCTCCCCTGCTCATGCTCTTTCTCTGTCTCAAAAATAAAGACAAACATTAAAAAAAATTTTTGATAAATAAATAAACATTAAACAATATTTTTAAAAAGATCTGTGCATTTCACTGTAAATTATACCTCAAATTTTCTGAAAAGCAAAAGAGAAAGACAAAAATGAATGTATCATCCCCTCCACCAAAGCGTATCCCTAGTAGGATGTCTGCCTAACATGCCTTCTTCAGGAATCACCTTTCCATCTACCACATGGCTGTAGCCAGAATACTTATGAAGACACAAGGGCATGAAGAGCAACTAACTGTGCCCTCCAATGTGCTCCCTATCTCAGCAAGAGGTCTGCCCAGTCCCAATCCAGAATCTGGAAATCATCCTCACTCCTTTTCACTCTCTCTCTCCTTCATCCCCTACATCAGGTTGAATCCCAAATTATGCCCATTGTACCTCCCTACAACCCATCTCATCCTCTTCATCTTTGCTGTCAGTGTCTCATTTATAACTATCATTTGTTAACCACTTTCTTCCATGCTTCCCATATATATATGTAACCTGAACAGATTTTCATTATTGCACTTGACACATTGCATTGAATCTCTGATTTATATGTCTCTCTCTTCCACAATAAAGTGATAGCAGAATAATGCCCCCCTACCAACTATGTCCACATTTAAATCCCCAGCAACTGTGAATATGTTACCTGACAGGACAAACAGAAATTTACAGATGTGATTAAACTAAGGGGACACCTGAATGGCTCAGTTGCTTAACCATTTGACCTCGGCTCAGGTTATGATCTCTCAGTTCATGACTTTGAGCCCTGCATAGGGCTCTCTACTGTCAGCACAGAGCCTACTTGGGACCCTCTGTTCCCCTTTCTCTCTGCCCCTCCCCTGCGCACATACTCTCTCTCTCCCTCCCCAAAATAAATAAACAGTAAAAGCAAATTAAAAAAAAAAAAAAAAAAAAGCTAAGATCTGTGTGATAGGGAGATTATGCTGGATTGTCTGGATAGACCCAGACTGATCACAGGGATCCTAAAGAACAGACAGCCTTACCTGGCTATGTCAGAGGGATATGTGACTACACAAGAGTCATCACAGAGCTGCAACTTTGCTGGCTTTGAGACGGAGAAAGGGAGACCACAAGCCAAGCAATGTTGTCTGCATCTAGAAGCTGGAAAAGTCAAGGAAACAGACTCTCCCTGGAGCCTCCAAAAGGAACACAGCTTTGCTGACACCTTCATTTTAGCTCACTGAGACCTGTGTCAGACTTCTCTAACCTACAGAACTGTAAGATAATAAATTTGTGTTGTTTTAAACCACTAAGTTTGTGGTAATTCATTAGAGTGGCCATGGAAAATGAACACAACTAACCATAAGTTCCTTGAGGGCAAGATCCTTCTCTGTGACTCTCAATGCCTAGCACTGTGCTTAGTACCTAAGGACACCATAGTCTCCAGGGAACAGGCATAAACAAATTATCACAACACAATGTAATAATTGTTCCGATGGTAGTATGGACTGAACTGTGTCTTTTCAAAATGTATATGTTGAAGCCCTAATCCTCAGTGAGGCTATATTTAGAATAAGGTTAAATAAGGTCATAAAGGTGGAGCACTGATCCAATAGAATATCCTTACAAAACTTGCTCTATCTCTGCCATATGGGGACACAGTGAGAAGCCAGCCATCTGCAAGCTAGAACAAGAGTCCTTACCAGGAATCAAATCAGTCAGCACCTGAATGTAGGACTTCCTAGCTTCCAGAATTTTAAGGAAATAAATTTCTGCTATTTAAGCCACCCAGTCTATAATATTTTGTTATGGCAGCCTGAGCAGACTCACAATACCACGTTTGTTTAAAGGAAAACAAGATGGGAATCTGGGAGTAACCATTCTGTCTGGGGAGGCCTTGATGAGTATATCCTGCACTCTGCTATGTGCTGTGAGGAATATAAAAAACTCAGAAGCACTAGCCCTTGCCCTGAGTATCTTGCACTCTAATGTAAAAGGCAATGCTACCATGCCTTAGAGAATGTGTAATCATTATATAAATTTGAATTTCAAGTGCACTGAAGCAATGCATGTCATCTGTGTTTTCCAGAACTTAGGTCAAATCAGTCCCACCCACCTACGTCAAGAAACCAACCTGAACTACTTTTGCTAATTGCTTTCTTTCTTACTTCCCATTTCCAGAATCAATTCTGCAATAACATGCAACCTGAGAAATTTAATACTCACACTCAACACCCTTTTTGCATAAATTAATCTGGATAAAACAAATAGCAAGGAAAACTCCAAGGGGAAAATCTGAAAGGAACTCTTGACAAGAAGACAACCTACACCTTTGAGGGTGGGTGTAAAGCTGAAAAGGGGAGCCCGGTCAGCCGCCCCTGCTTCCTGACTGCATCATATGATCACCTCAGCCCTGCTTCAGCACCAAGTGATGAATGCCAATTCCTGCTCCTTAACACACTTGTTTCCACATCACCTTCTGAAAATGCAGAAGATTCCTAAAGGTTAACAGTCATTTTCAGGTGTGGCTCTCTAGCTAGGAAGTTAGAACTTTTTATGAACACATCAGAACTCTTATTGAAAAGAGGATTTTCCTTCAGAGTCATTGTGAGAAGCACCAATGCAATTGCAATTGCAATTCTACTGCATTTCACACAGTATCAGTGGAACCCCTCCTTTGAAATTAATAAACCTTCTCCAAAAACTCAGACTCTGTTCCACAGTCACACGTCATTTCAGGTGAACAAAATATTATCCGTGTTGACTTCCTACCACATTCATAGGACTTGGTACCAAATAACTTCTGGCTAATTCTAAGAATTAAACATATATACTTAGATGTATCTTAAGTATGCATATATTTTTCAAATATCCTACAGGCTGAAAGCAAGCTCTAAGGAGGTAGGAAATTTTTGAGCAGAGAAAACATCTTTGAAAAACACTTAACCTCTGAAAGAAGAGCACATACTTGAAGATATGATTTAGGAATTCATAGTTTTTAAAAATCAGTCACATTACTGCAGAGCCACATCTCCCACAGTGCCTCACTC